GACCCGGGGACACCGGGACATGGGGACACCAGGACATCAGGACATGGGGACACTGGTAAACAGAGATATCGGGACATCAGGACATGGAGACACTGGGATATGGGGGCATGAGGACAGGGGGACACAGGGACAGAGATGGGGACATGGGGATGGGGGGACAGAGATGGGGGACAGGGGGACATGGGGATGGGGACACAGGGACACAGAGATGGAAACACGGGGATGGAGAGAGGAACATGGGGACAGAGGGACAAGGGGACACAGAGATGGGAACATGGTGATGGAGACAGGAACATGGGGATGAAGACACAGGGATGGGGACATGGGGACATGGGGACATGAACATGGGGACAGGAGGACAGAGGGACAAGGGGACAAAGGGACATGGAGATGGGAACGTGGGGATGGAGACAGGAACATGGGGATGGAGACACAGGGATGGAGACAGGAACATGGGGACAGGGGGACACAGGGACAGGGGGACAGGGGGACAAGGGGACAGGTGCCACCCACCTTGTCGGCCGCGTAGTGGCCCTTGTCCAGCAGCGCGTTGCCCATGGCCACGCAGGCCTGGAAGCTGTCGGCCCGGGCATCCACCTCCGCCTTGATGCTCTGGTGGTTCTTGATGACCAGGTCGGCCGAGGACACATCCCTGAGGAGGTTGGGGGACACACGGGGGAGGACACTGTCACCAAGGGGTGGGGGGACACAACGCCACCACCACCAACCCCTGAGATCCTCCTGGACACATGGAAGGGGGTGTGGAGATCGTGGGGTGATGGAGGTGGGGACAGAGGGGACATGGACCTCGTGGGGTGATGAAGGTGGGGACAGGAGGGGACATGGACCTTGTGGGACGATGGAGATGGCCCCCATAGGATGATGATGATGGGGACGGAGGTGACAGGGGGGACATGGACCTCATGCGATGATGGAGATGGGGAAAGGAGGTGATGGGGGGGACATGGACCTCATGGGATGATGATGATGGAGAACAGGAGGGGACAGGAGGAGACAGGGACCTCATGGGATGATGGAGATGGGTACAGGAGGGGACACAGGTGTCATGGACCTCCTGGGGTGATGGAGATGGCCCCCATGGGATGATGATGATGGGGAAGGAGGGGACAGGGGGGGACATGGACCTCATGGGACGATGGAGATGGGGACAGGAGGGGACATGGACCTTGTGGGATGATGGAAATGGGGACATGAGGGGACAGGAGGGGACATGGACCTTGTGGGACGATGGAGATGGCCCCCATGGGATGATGATGATGGGGATGGAGGGTGACAGGGGGGGACATGGCCCCCCACGGGGCCAGGGGGGTGACAGCGGGGCCGCGTCCCCTCACCGCGGCCTCTCCTGGCCCTCGATCTGCAGGCGGACGCCGTCCATCCAGAGCAGGAGGTCCCTGACCGCCTTCAAGAAGCGGAACTTGTCGACGGTGTCGAGGAGGAGGCGGCGGCGGCCATGGCTGCTGCCCCGCAGCTGGGCCCAGGCCTGGCTGACGGCCTGCTCCTGCCGACGGATCTCGGCCGCCTTCTCCCCGGCGTAGGCCTTGGCCAGTCGCCCCGCGTCCTCCTGCACTTGCCGCACCTGTTTTGGGGTGTGGGGGGGAAAAAAATGGGCCATCAAATGAGGAGTTTGGGCCACCAAAAGTGGATTAAATAAAATTGAGGCCTAGTCAAGATGGCTGCCACCAGGGGCCTGGGGAAGGGGGAGGCCTTGGAGGGCAACTACTGGACCCCCCCCACATTGGCCAGTGATGGGGGCTGGGTGGCCAGTTGCCCCACGTCCTCCTGCACGTGCCACGTGTCAGGGGGGTGGCTTTTGGGCCAGTGAACGAGGATTTTGGGCCACCAAAAGTGGATAAAATAAAATTGAGGCCTAGTCAAGATGGCGGCCTCCAAGGCCCTGGGGAGGGGGAACCCATGGGGAGGCCTCGGGGGGCAACTACTGGCCCCCCACGGGCCAGCGACGGGGGCCAGTTGCCCCACGTCCTCCGGTACTTGCCACAATGATGGGGGGGGGG